CCACCACCACACACACACACACACACACACACACACACACACACACACACACACACACACACACACACACACACACACACACACACACCACACACAGTGCCTGACGCGTTCTTGGACTGTGTGGACATGCCAAACGAGGAAGTGCCCTTCCGCGTGGTGGTGAACCTCGTGTCGTACCCATTTGTGCCGTTTGTGCTGGACCCCTTTGCCAACGCCTCGGTCGCAGACAACGTGCGCGTGGACAGCGTGCGCCTGCGCCTGCAGCAGCACAACATCCTCGCCTCCGACGGCGTTGCCGCAGACGAGCACGTGTACGGCATTGCTGCCATGGACATGGTGGCCTTGTGCGACTGCAACCAGCACGCAGACACCTGCGTGCAGCAAAGCTGCCCTAGCGTTGCTCAGACCTACTGCGAGTGCCGCAACAACACCGCCGGCCGCAACTGCGAGTACTGCGCGCAGGGATATCAGGCCACCGCCTGGCAGCAAGGCCCCGACTACGAATGCAGCGAGTGCCAGTGCCTCCCTGTCGCCACGTCGCCTGTCGCAGACCCGCTGTCCCCAACAGCAACATGCGTCGACGACGCAGGCCAGTGCCCGTGCGTGCATGCAACCATCGCGGGCACACACTGCGACTCACCCGTCAGCGCACACTTTGCCGCCCTCTACGACTACGTGGATACGCAGCTCGAGGACATGTTCCTTGCCCAATACTCCATTGGCGTCGTTGTGGACGACACCCAGGACAGGTGGTACACGGGCCGCGGATACGTTCGCCTCATCGCAGGCCAGAGCATCGCCTTCCAGGCGCCACTCGACACGCAGAGCCTGTTTGTTGATGCCATCGGCCCAGCCAGCCTGAGCCACTTTGTCGAGTACCGCGCGCTGGCTGAGGCCACCGTGACCACAACGGTCGGCGGCAGCGAAATCGTTCTGCAACCAACCTCGTTTGCTCGCCTGGAGGTGCCGCAAGATGCCGAGCTTGTGCTGGTCAGCGGTGGCCCTCTCCTTGTCGACCGCGTGCTGACCGTGCCAGCTGCATTTGTGGCCACGCCAAAGCTGCCGCCATCCCTTTACCCGGATTTCCCGCGCGCAACAGATTTGGCGGGCCTGTACCCCGGCACGTGTGACGAATTCAACAGCAACCGCGACGCACCTGCCGCCTGCGCCGACATCGCCTTTGCCGAATCCGTTCGCACGTACGGCCAGGCCTTCCCTTGCGACTGCGATCCACGAGGGACAGAGGCGGGTACGGAGTGCGACCCATATGGCGGGCAATGCGTGTGCCGCGCCAACGCCGTTGGTCGCAGCTGCGACGCGTGCGAGCTTGGCTTCTACCTCACCGAGACGGATGGCTGTGTTCCCTGTGGCTGCGCTGCGACCGACGACAACATTGCTCAGTGCCACTGCACTTCCTTTGGCTCCGTTGACGGCTTGTGCGCCACCAACGGCACCTGCGTGTGAGTACTTGATCGAGTGCTTGAATGCGGCCGTGTACACGCATCTTGCTCTCGCGCGTTTGCTCTCGCGCGTTTGCTGGCTTCGTTGAGTTATCAATGCACGTCCTACGTGTCAATTGCGTGTGTACGCGCTTTCTGTGTTTGTGTCCTCTGTATGCATGCATCATACGCTCTGCAGACGTGTGCGCTCTATGCACTTTCGCCCTTGCCTCACCACATTCTCTCATATGACGTGGTTACCCAACCCACCCCCCCCCCTCTCCCACGCCCTCGTTCGTTTCCTCCGTTTGTCACCCGCACGCAGGTGCCGGCCATACTTCACGGGCCCAACATGCTCCGAGTGCGTGGAAACAGCCGTCTTCGACCCAGCCACGCAAGAATGCATCCCGTGCCCAGATTGCGTGCAGCGGCTGAAGGAGCGCGTGGCCTGCGATGCCGACTACACAGCCATGCAGCTCGCCCTCGTGCCCTGGCACGGTGACATCCTGCAAGCGCTCGTTGCCATTGATCAAGTCCTCAGCACCACCTCCCTGGCTGTGCTTGAGCGCCAGATGTTCTACGACTCCCAGAACGAAACCATCATGGACCTTGCGTTGCAGATTGCAACCACCATCTCCGAGTTTGACGAACAGTTCATTGTGGACGTTGACGCTGCCCAGGCCCAGCTCAACACCGCGCTGTCCCTGGTGGAGGCCAGCCTGTCCGCGCTTGTGCTGCGCGTGCGTCAGTACGAACAGGCCGTGCTTGTCTTCTTTGCCTCGTGGCAGACGGTGCTGGAGACCGTGGCTGCCACCTACGATCCGGAGACAGGCGACGAGTACGCCGCTGTTCTGGCGGGACTTCTGGACCGCGCGTCCACCTTCGAGGACAGCTTGCTTGAGGTGCAAGCAGCCTGTGCCGAAACCGCAACGCTGGTCGGCACCCTCGTTGGGGAGCTGAACAACATCGCAGCCCTCAACGCATCCTTCAACGCAATCCCGCTGTCTGCCACCATCACCCACCTGCAAGCTGTCACGGCACAGGCAGATGCCCTGCGCACATCGCTTGACCTCCTCGCCGCAAGCATTCAGAACGGCAACAGCCTGCAGGCCAGCATCGCCAGCATGCGCGCATCCATCGCCACCACGCTTGGCCAGGCCGAGACAGCATCTGCCACCACCGCCTCCCTGCTCGCGCAGCTGGAGCAAACCAGCACTGATTACGACGACGTTGTCGCGGATGTCAACGCAATTATTGCTGCTTGGACTGCGGACACGGGCAGCTTGACGGGTCTGCGCCAGGTTGCCATTTCCTCCGTGCTGCTGCAGACGCGCGCTGCCGCCAATGCGTCGGTGATTGCCCTGCGCACCACCAACATGCAGGAGGCCGCAGACGAGATGGCCCGCATCTACGCCAACGCCATCAACGACCCAGACATTCCGCAGGTGGTCCAGGACCTGATTGCGACCATGTCCCGCGTCATGAACATCATCGGCACCACCCCGGCCGTATTTCAGCGCGCAGACAACGCCACTACCACGCTGCTTGGCCTCGACGTTGTGGCCCTGCATCTGGGCTTTGACGGTGCGGAGCAGTGGACGGCCATGCTGCAGGGACAAATCGCCGGCCTCCAGCCTGACCTCGTCTCACTGCACGAGCTGCTCGCACAGCTCTCGTCCGCACTGGACCCGGCCAACTTCCCCGAGCTTGATGTCAGTGGCATGGATGCGTCGCTGGCCAACACCGCCAGTGCTGCTGCTGATGTGGCAACGAGCGTGGCCGCACAGGATTCCGCCCTCACACCGCGCGAGGCCACCAACCTGCAGCCCACACTGGACATGCTTGCCGCACGTGCTGCAGCCATGACCAATGAGACCTCAAACGGCGCTGCCCTGGCCACCAGCGTGCAGCAGCAGGCCCAGGCCCAGGCCGCAGATGTGGCTGACACCGTGCAGACGGCTCTGAGCGACGTCCAGCAGCAGGCGCAGGGCACGGCGGATGCCCTGTCCGCGATTGAGAGCAACGTTGACGCAACCTCAACCCTGCTGGACGCACTGGAGGCGCGGCTGGCTCGCATTTCCGTGAGCGCCGAGTTTGTGGCTGCGCGCGCGCCGGTGCTTGAGCCGCGCATCGCGGGCTCGGGCTTCTTCTCCTCCCCAGTGGACCTCGCTGTCACAAACGAGGGCCAGAACAGGTCCGGATACACGCTGGTGGGCAGCGTGTTTGGCGACGCCATCGGGCCCCTGCCTCCTCTCAACAGCGCCAACGGCACCACACCTGCGCCCATGCCGTTCACAGGCATTGATCTGCAGATTGGCGGCGTGCCGCTGCCCATGAAGCGTGATCTTGGCTTTGCCAGCGTCTCGCTGCCATTCAGCTCCCACCGCCTGGCCGTGGAACCTGGCCCAGCCTCGTCGTTGTCGGCGTGGCGGCTGGCTGCCACCGCAGATGACAGCCTGTTGTTTGCCAGCGAGGGCTCCCTGCGCGTGCTGCTCCGCGCGGTGGACGGCTCCAACCAGCCCGTCGTTGCCGGTGTGCCGCTGTTTGCTCAGGCCGATGTCGGTGGCAACACCTTGCCCACGCTCAGTGGCTGGTGTGCCACGGCACACAACGGCACGTGCGTGGTGTGGATGGAGCTGCCACACGCGTGGCGCCGCTCCAACGTCTCCTTCACCATTCGCATGCGCGCGGGGCTGTCCGCAAGCGAAGCCGCGTCTGCAGCCGCCTTTGACACGCTGGCCTTTGTGCCCACGCCCGCCGTGTTGGATCTAGCTGAGACGGACAAGGAGCAGCTTGTGCTCGACGTGCCGCTGCACACCGTCACGGAAACAGAGTGGTTTGCCGTGCACCTGCGCAGCCTGTACGATCGCGCCGTGCGCTCGTTTGTGGTGCGCATCACGCTGCCGCTTGGCGTTGTGTTCTCCAGTGCCAGCCCGACCGAGGCGTTCAACGTCGCCGTGTTGCACCAGTCCACCAACGCAGAGGGGCGCCAGGTCCTCGTCATCACCGGCATTCGCGAGACCGTGAGCGTCCCGGCCGCCGCGCCGCTTGACTCGGAAGTCCTGGCCATCCTTCGCTTCCAGTACACGGGCCTCGCTGGCCTTGTTGTGCAGGAAGGCACGGCAGCGTGGGGCCTGGAGATGCGCGAGGTTGTGTACGTGACTGGCCGTCGCGTCAGCGGCGTGCCACGCGCAGGCTCCATCGCCACCCGCTACAACGGCTACCAGGAGGCGCCACAGCCGTTCTCGTCGGCGTCCAACGGCGCAGTTGTGCTGGTGTCCAACCCGCTGCATCCGCGCCTGACAGACCTTCGCCCCGTTGCTCCCGATGCCGCCAGCACCCGCCTCAACATCGTTGGCGTGTCTGCGCTGGGCGTGGCCGTGGACTCCACCGCCAGCCTGCAGTGCATTGCGCCTGGGAGCTCCGGCCTTGTGTTTGCGTCGGGGTCTGCCACCGCTGTTGGCAACGACTGCAACACGGTGACGCTGGAGGGTCGCCCGGCAGGCGTGGTGCCGTCCGCAGACATGTTGTTCCTGTCCAACGACGACCAGGGCTCCCGCGCGTCCACGCGCGTGTCGCTGCTGCTGCGGCGCGTGCAATCACTGGCCATTGACACGGATGTAGACTGCATCAGTGCCGTGCAGGTGCCATCGTGCACGGGCGTCGTGCTCTCCGAGCGCATCCGTGTGGGCGTGCGCGCCGTCCTCAGCGACGGCATCGCCATCGACATTACCCACGTTGCCGTGCGCGAGGCTGCGCTCGCATCCGCAAACGGCAACTTTGTCTTCACAGACAACGGGTACCTGGAACTGTGGGCGCCAGACCGCCCAACGGCGCAGCTGCCGCCCAGTGACACCATCACGCTTGCGCGCGCCTTGCCGAGCGGCGTGAGCTTCACCCCACGCGAGATCCGCATCGACCCGCCATCGCAGCCGGTCGGGCTTCGTGTTGACGCCTTCAACCCGGAGGACGTGTCCATTGACGCGAGCACGCTTGGTTCCATCGGTGCGTCCGGCGACATCACCGCTGTCCGCAGCACAGACGTGCTTGTGCTGATGGTGAGCCACCCCGATCGCCCCACGCTGCGTGTGGGCGGCGGGTCTCTTGCTGCCGTGCACGCGCGCCTGCTGCTGAGTGACGGTCGGCCCGTGGCGGTGGATCCACAGCACCTCGTCCTGACATCGCCAGCGTCCGGCTTTGCATTTGACGTGAGCGGCGACGGCAGCGCGGTTCTCACCCGCACCAACGCCAGCATTGGTGCAGCCCAGGCCCTAACGTTCGCATGGGCGCCCGGTTGTGCCGAGGGTGGGGACACGCAGGTGCTGACGGGCCAGCTGTTTGTGGATGTGGTTGCGCTGGACGGCGTCCTGCTGACAGACAGCAGCGTGACCATGTCCCTGTACGGAGACGCTGCCGTTGCTGCTGGCGTGCTGCGTGACTATCGTCCACAAGTAACCCTGCGCTACAACACGTATGTTGCCGACAGGTTCATCTACACGGACCTGACGGGCGCGTTGACGACTGCAAGCGTCACGCCCGCGGACAGCGACTACGTGGTTGTGACGGCGACAGCCAGTGGCCGCCCCGTTGTGAGCGGCGTGCGTACGGGGCAAACCAACCTCACCATCTCCTACACCACGCTCAGCGCTGTTGTTGACCTGACCATCATCCGCGCGCAGGGCATCACTGCATCGTACATTCCGTACCCACACCCGTCGGCCACGGCCGAAGCAAACCTGGACGACCTGTGGTCGCTGGCGTTGGCGGATCCACGCTTCTGCCGCGTTCCCTCCAGCCGCTCCTCGTCTCGCTTCCTGCAAGGCCAGGTGGTGGCCTTTATCACGCTCACCAACGGCACGCGCATCGCCGTGTCGCCCGGATCACCGGCTCAAGGTCAGAGAACAGCAAGTCATCGTGTGTGTGTGTCGTGCGCTGTGTCTGTGTTTTGTTTTGTATGTGTGTATTCATGTGTTGCGGGTTCATGTGTATTCATGTGTTTTTATGTGTATATGTGTTTGTGTGTGTTTGCGCCCAGTTATGGGTCGTTCCGAGTGAGTGCTGATATCTACTCGTGTAGTCGTGTGTTGTGATGCCTGTGCTGTGATGCTACAATTTGCCGCACAGCCACTTCTCATCATCACTGCCCACCCCACACCCCCCACTCACATATGTGTGTACCTGTTGTTTTGTCTTACCTCCTCCTTTGTATTTGTTGCTTACAGATTTGGCGTTCCAGCTGCTCGGCGCCCGGGTGATGGACGTTGCATTTGTGCCCTCCGCCACTGGCGGCAAGCACGTGACGCTGCCTTCCACGAGCGGGAGCTCTGCCATTGGCGTTCGCTTTGCGTCCAGTGTCACCGCCATTCTGTCGCGTGTTGCAACCAGCACCGCCACCGTCAGCGGCCTTGAATGCGGGCTGAGCAGTCCTGCCGAGGCCTCGGCTGATTCTGCGTCGCTTGTTCGCTGCAGCATCATGTTTGCGTGCGGGTCTCAGTCCGTGTTTACCTACGCTGCCCATGCCCTGCAGTATCTCGAGCCCGCGGATGTGCCACGGCTTCGCACGCAGCTGGCATTTGAGGACTACATTGCCCTCTCTGTGCAGGATCCAGAATACTCGTCCTCCTTCTCCTTCAACACTGCCACCGGCGCTGTCACCGTGCACCGCAACACGCCGACGCCCATCAACATTGTTGCCAGCAGTCCCTTCAACGCCGCGGCCTGGGCCACTGTGCCCATCGCTGGTGCGTGCGTGTGTGTGTGCGTGTGTGTGTGTGTGTGTGTGCCCACGCGCTGGGATGAACTGCTTTCTCAACTTTTGTACCTCGTCCCCGACACAAAACGACAAACCACCGTATTCTGTATTGTGTTGTTCTGCCTGCAGGCAATCTGAAGGCTGGATTCCTCGATGTCGATGTTGGCGGTGACGAGGACGTGGCCATTGCCCCACTCGCCGCTGGCGAGGTATGTTTGACTTCGATGCTCGAGGTAGAAGAGTGCCGTTTGTGTTGCCCATCCAGAGCAGTGCCCTTAGCAGACTCGCGCTTATCCTTTTCGCGCCTTCATGCACTCACAGACATTCACACACGTCAGCACTACCTCTACTTGTGCTGGTCTGCTCACGCCCACCCCCCTTGCTCACTCACCGCCTCCACACACACACACACACACACACACACACACACACACACACACACACACACACACACACACACACACACACCACCTCTGCATGTGCTCGTTGCTGTGTGACTGGCTTCTCAGGAGGTGGATGTGCCCGTCTGGGTGAACACGGAAGGCGTGGAGTTGGGTGCATTTGATGTGGAGATTACTGTGATGGGCGACGTTGTGATTTCCGGCTTCATGCGGGCACCAGGGCTGCTCATGTCACAGGTCGTGCAAGCAGACAGCACGACGATTCGCGTGGCCGGTTTTGCTGCCGCCGCCGACCCCGTGCTCCTCACCCTCAGCCTGCAAGGCACCAGCCCTGGCGCCCAAGCCAACGCCACGTCTGTTGCGCGCATCACGCCGTTCATCAACGTGCTGGCCACCGAAGACTTCTCGGCCGTTGTGGAAGACACGCCCGCAACAGCCGGTGACGTCCCCGTCTTGATTACCAACGCAGACACCAGTACCAACACCACGCTTCGTCGCCGCCGCCGTAGCGGCCACAGCAGCGCCGCCAGCGATGAGGCTGTTGCAGTCGCACCCGTGTCCACAGCAACAACGATGACGACCAAGCGTGCGCGGCGCAACTTGGATCCACTCTTCATTGACTGCACCTTCTTTGAGTTTTACATCACGGGCGAATGCCCTGACCCTGTTGCTTGCGATGTGGATGTTCCCGGCGATGTTGATGGGGACTGCCGCGTGACTGCAATCGACGTTGCCATCATCTTCACGTACATCCAGGAGCGCGCCGTTGACTTCACCACCGCGCGTGGCCGCCGGCTGCAGCAGCTGTCGCAGGCAGTGGATCTGATGCTGCGTGCCGATGTGGATCACTCTGGCCTGGTGAACACGGACGACGCCGCCCTGCTGCTCTCTGCGCTTCTCGGCAACGCACGTCTCATGGCCTTTGAGGCGGACGCAGCCGGTCCTTGGTTCTCCTCCCAGGTCACAACGTACGGGGAGCGGCCACCGCTGGACGACATTCGCGTGTACGCGCTCGTTGCCTCAACATGCCCGCGCCTGCTGTCTGCTTCCTTTGGGTCTCCCGCCGGTGCCGCCACCCCCATTTCCGCGTCTGCGGCCCTGGAAACGAACGGCAAGGACCCCGTGCAGCCGCTCTATGCGCAGTTTGTGCCCATGCCCGCCGTCAACGCCACGACGCTGGCGCTGCACACGTCGCAGCCTGCGTTTGAGGATGTGTCGTCGCTCGGCGTGTCCTATGTGCAGGTGACGCGCGCCGGCTGGCAGGTGCTGTTTGACAGCGACACGGACGCGACAACAGAGTTTCCGCAGCGCATCTCTGCTCGCGTGACGCCGTTTGCTGGCGGCCCGCTTGTCGGCCTGTTTGTTGACGGCCACACGCCAGCCATCAGCGTGCAGCTGGACACGGCGCTGTCCATGGAGGGCGCCTACCCGGACTCTATGCCCAACTTTGTGTTCCGGCGGTACTCATACGTGGCCACGGCGGCGACGGTGCTGATGAGCAGGCGTGTGCGTGGTTCGTTTGACTGCATGGCATACGAGTGCGCGCATCGCTGTGTGCAGGCTGGCGACGCGTGCCGTGGCTTCTCCATTGTGGTGGACATCGTGCCGCGCGCAACGTGCCTGCTCTTCCGCCAGCTGCAGGTGAGCACGACAGAAGAGCTTGGTGCGCACGACGCATCCTACGCTCGCACAGTGGATGTGGACGTTCCCCCGATTCCAGGCAACTACGATCCTGTGTTCCAGGGCAACACGCCAGGCAACGCCGGCTCGCCGCTGCGCTTTGCCACCGCCTTTTCCGCCGACGCCATCATCTCCATTCTGAACGGGGTGACCGAGGTGCAGTGTGCGGAGGCATGCGATGCACAGGCAGCGTGCCTGGGCGTGTTCCACTGGCTCAGGGGCCAAACACCAGAGTGCCGCCTCCTCAACAACATTGGCGACTTTGCTGGTCTTCCAACCACAAGCGTGTCCATGTCCTTTGCCAAACAGGTATCGTTGTGCGTGTGTATGTGTGATTGTGTTTGTGTGATTGTGATTGTGCTTGTGACCTTGAGATCGTGTGTGTGTGTGTGATTGTGATTGTGTATGTGTGATTGTGTTTGTGTGTGTGTGTGTGATTGTGTTTGTGTGTGTGTGCGATTGTGTGATTGTATGTAACCTTGAGATAGTGTGTGTGTGAGTGTGTGTGTGTGTGATGTCAGAGCATCGCGTGTCGATGGTTGATGACCCCCCCACCCCCCCCCATGGTTGAATGCACCTTTCTAAACATGCATCGTGTTCGCTGTGGCTTTTGCTCTTAGGTCTCCGATGTGATTCCAGATGGCTTTTCGTTGGCGCACATTGGGTTGACTGCGTTTGCCGCGAGCAGCACTGCGACGCCACGCCGGTTCTCCACCGGCTTCAGTGCCTCTGCCATCATTTCCCGCACCTCGACAACGCTTGATGTGTGCGCGCAAATGTGTGAGGACGCTGTGCTCTGCCAGGGCTTCTTCTTCACCATGGAGAACGCCGAGCTTGCTTGCCGCTTGCTCTCGGACATTGGTACCACAGAAGGCACGCCAACCACGTCCTCGTCCATCAGCGTGCGCAAGCAGGTTCGTCCTTGATTCGAGTGATGGTGGTGGTGGTGGTGGTGGTGGTGGTGACGATGATGATGGGTGATGGTGGTATCGGTTGGTGGTGGGCATTCAGTGCTAGCCTGCGTGTGTATGTTGCGAAAGATCAACACTCAACACCTGCACGTCCCCTCACGATACTCACACGCACACAACAACAACAAACCCCACTTCCATGCACATGCTGCAGGCACTTGTGAGCGAGCCTAATGGGTACACGCTCGCTGCCACGGGCGCGTTCAGCGGTGTTGTGTCGCCCCTGCGTTTCGCCTCTGGCTTCACGCCATCGGCGTTCCTGTCGGAGGTGGACGTGCCATCACCGGCAGCGTGCGCTGCTGTGTGTGACAGCGAAGCCGCGTGCGTTGGCTTCTTCCTCTGGGTGCGCAGCTCGACCCGCGTTGTGTGCCGCACCCTGTCGGAGCGTGGCCCACTTGTTGCCACGTCGTCGTCCTCGTTCTCCTTCCGGCGCAATATGGTGCAGTCGCCGGTTGTTGCTGGCTACGAGCTGCAGTACGAGGGTGCGACGCCAAGCAACCCCGCAGGGCCCGCACTGCGCTACAGCACCGCCTTTGACGCTGCCAGCCAGATCTCCGTGTCCACTGTGGGTTCGTTGGACGAGTGCGCTGCGCTGTGCAGCAGCCAGACCCAGCAGCCAAACTTCTGCCGCGGCTTTTTCGCCTATCGCCAATCCACGCTTCGCTGCATCACCCTCCGCTCTCTCGGCACCGCTGTTGCCACAAGCACAAACTCCTACTCCTTCAGTGACGAGGTACGGGCTTGCCATGCTGCCACTGCTTGTATGTCATGTGGTGGTTGTGTGGTGTTGGTGGTGTTTGGTCTGTGGTTCTGTAACGCAAGACTGCTGATGTTGTTGATGATGATGATTGCGAGCTGACTCCTTGAACATTTCTCTCACCCTGACTTGGTGTCCATCATTGGCACGTGTGTGCATGTGTGCGTGTGTGTGTGCGTGTGTGTGTGCGTGTGTGTGCGTGTGTGTGCGTGTGCGTGTGTACATGTGGGTGTGTTGGCGACTGCGCGTTAGGCTCCCTTGGTGAAGCTGGGCTTTGCTGGCGTGTTTACGGGCGTGTCGCGTCGCTTCTCCACAGCGTTTTCTGCCGATGCACTCCTTCGCTCGTTTGTTGTCGGCACTGACCTGGACCAAACGTCGCTGACGTGCGGTCTTGCGTGTGATGAAGACGCCGCGTGCGAGGGTTTCTTTACCTATGTGACACCCAACGGAGGCATTCAGTGCCGTCTGCTGTCTGACCTGGGAACATCCCAGGGTGTGGCCACCACGCTCATCTCCAATTCATATGCCAAGGTGGTCGTGCCAACCACTACCACAACTTCAACAACAACCACCACCACATCAACAACAACAACGACATCGACGACGACAACCACCACATCAACAACCACAACTACAACGACAACCACTACCACAACAACAACCACCACCACTTCGACAACGACAACAACAACCACCACATCAACAACAACAACCACATCGACGACGACAACCACCACATCAACAACGACAACGACCACATCAACAACAACAACCACCACCACAACCACCACCACTACAACCACTACCACATCGACAACCACAACCACTTCGACCACCACGACGACGACGACAACCACATCAACGACAACCACTACCACAACTACAACCACTACCACAACTACAACCACAACTTCAACCACAACCACAACCACAACCACCACAACGACGACTACCACATCGACAACCACAACCACTTCGACCACCACAACCACAACCACGACAACGACCACTTCGACCACCACGAGCACCTCGACGACTACCACAGATGTGCTCGCGGCTTTCGCGCTTGATTTCGAAGGCGCCAACCCAGGCTCCACTGGCCCAGCTCGGTCAGTTCGGCCCCAGCACCTTTGTTCCTTGCCTGTCTTGTTTCATCTCCCCCCTGCATTGTGACGCTTTGGCTCACACATGCACTTCCTTGGTTGCTTTGGCGTGTTGGTGGTCATGCAGGCGGTACTCCACTGCGTTTGATGCCAACGCGCTGGTTGTGCAGCGCGTGGTTGGCTTGAGCGCCTGTGCCTCTGCATGCACCTCGGAGCCCCTCTGCCGCGGGTTCTTCTGGTACAGCATCAACCCAGGTAAGGGCTACACCTGTGTGCTCGTAAATGTACGTGCATGTGTTTGTGTGTTTGTGTGCGTACATGTGTGCTTGAATGCGTGTGTGTGTGTGTGTGTGTGTGCTTGTATGCGTGTGTTGCTGTGACAAGCAACCTGTGTCAAGCACCCGGCGTGGATGTTGCATGTTTCTCACCCGCACGCCCACATATGCATATGTGCCTGGCAGCTGAGCCTCGCTGCCGCCTGCTGTCGGATCTTGGCACAGCCGCGGGCGTGACCACCTCCCTCGAGAGCTACAGCTATCGCCAGCTCTGATCACAGCGACGTCATGCCTTGCTTGCTTACTTGCTTGCTTGTGATTGCTAGCCCTGCTTGCTTTCTTGCCTTGCAAGGCTGCTCTCAAATGATGAGTCATCAATTCCATTTTTGTCACCAATGATGACACCACCACCAATACACTGAACAACGCCACAACAGCGGGCAAGGAGCGAGACGACACACACACACACGACACAAGCATCGTCATCAACCACAATCACCACCCCATCCCCATCACCGCCAACGACAACAATGAGCGCACAGGAAGAAGACCCAAACAAGGGAGAGGACCGGGCGCTCCCAATCAAAGTGCTTTTGCTCGGCGAGCCAGCTTGTGAGTCTTGCTGCCCTCCAAGGCGCACCGCACCACCTATGCGCCACGCTTTGTTCTGTTGCTCTGTTCTTGTTGTGAAAGATCACACACACACACACACACGCACGCACACACATACACACACATACACACATACCACACACGTATACACATTCACGCACACACGTGTGTGTGTGTGTACATTACACACTCAAGGTGGAAAGACGGCGCTGATGAAGGCGTTTGTGCACGGCCGCCATGTTGTGGACACGTACCGTCCAACACCTGGGCTGGACTTTGCCTCAAAGACCGTGTTTCTCCCCGACGCACAGGTGCGTTCGCTCATTCGTGTGTGTGTGTGTGTGTGTGTGTGTGTGTGTGTATGTGTGTGTGTGTATGTGTGTGTGCGCAAGTTGAGGGGGGAAGCTGCTTGATAGAAGCGAATGCAAAGCCAATGATAGTGCATCAACATCGCACGCATGCATGCTCACACACGCTCCCCGCATCATCTTCCTCCCTGTCCTTGTTTTCTGTCATTGTCGACGTGTGCAGGTGTACATGCACGTGTGGGACTTTGCGGGTGCGAGGCAATTCCAAAGCCTGTTGAGGCCATATGCTCGAACCTGCTTCGCAGTGCTTCTCGTCTACGATGTCACAGGTATGTGGCGAACATGATCGGTTACAAACCCTTCCTTTTCCTTCATTGCGCTGCTGTGCTTCCTGCGCCCCTGCATTGGTGCTAACCGCTTGGTAATCACAAGATCACACATCAAGTCATCACGCGACAACAACCACCTGGTTGCTTGCTTGTGTGGCTGTGTGTGTGTGTGTGTGGGGGGGGGGGGCAGATGAAGCGTCATTCGATGCGCTCGACCACTGGGCAGCGCTGGCACAGGAAGACCCAGGCACGCGGCCCCAGCTTGCGCTAGTGGGCATGAAGAGCGACCTCGCAGACAAGCGCCAAGTGACGCGGGAGGCAGCAAAGCTGAAGGCCCTGTGTTTGGGTGCAGAGCTCTTTGAGGTGAGCGTCCACAATCCAAACAAGGTTCGCCTGCCTTTCCACCACCTGGCACACGCTGCTTGTCAACAGCAGTTGGAAACCGAGCCAACAGCCACCGGCCATCAAGACGACGCTCACGGTGAGTGAACCATCACATGCGACGAATACAACTCACATGTCGGTGCTCATGCATGACGAGCGTGGGCATGACCAGGCTGGGGCGTGTTGTGATGGGGCATGTTGTGGTGGCGTTTCTTCTCACGTTCACACATACACACCCACACACCCACACACGCACACACACACACACACACACACACACACACACACACACACACACACACACACACACACACACACACACACAACCCCCCCCCCCCCCACACACACACACACACACGGCACCCACATCAGCAGCCGCTCGTCCTGGAAGCACAAGCGAAGAGGATGAAGGTGCTGTTGGTTGGATTTCCTGGTTGTACACCGGTGTGGTTGGCAGCATCAAGGCTGTCGCTGTCACCATGTCAAACTGCGTGTCTCCTTGGGTCTGTTCGGCGCCACAATCCCACGACGACAGTGCAGATGACAGTCCTTATCAGCACCACAATAAGAGGGAGACAACTCGGGCCAACGACGGCAGCAGCAGTCGCAGCAGCAGCCGCAACCGCAGCACAGAGCATACACGACGTCAACACCTGCAGCCTGCTGCGATGGAGTTGAAGGCTGTGACTAGCTAATGAGTGTATGGCAGAGGGATTAGTGGGCTTTGGCTTGTTCGTAGGAGGACGTTGTTGGCGCGCTGTACAAAGACCACCACCCATGCCAGCTGCATTCTGTCTTGGTGTGACTATCATGCTGCTCAAGTGGAGGAATGCAATGAACGAAACTGTGTACTCATCATCCTCAATGACCAACAAACAGCGCACAAGCAAGCAAACGAGCAAACAATTTGCAATGGGAACAACATGCACGAGAGAGAACGTTGAGGGAAGGGGGGTAGCAGCTCAAACATCCACTTCGCAGTCACCACACCGCGTCACATTATGACGGGGGAGGCGGGCGAAGAAGAGCCAAAGACATACAGTCAGAGTGCTGTTGCTGGCGTGCAGGGATGAGAGTGGGGAGACGACGAGGACACACGGGCGACGAACGATGGGAGTTAGAGAGGGATGTTGCCGTGCTTCTTGGCGGGGTTCTTCACATCCTTGGTGGCAAGCATGGCCAGGTCGTGCATGATGCGTTGCCTGCGAAGTCCGTGACAATGGCCGCGGGGGGAGCGGGATGAGTGAGTGAATGGCAGTGAATGTAAGTATGTGTGTGCAAGTGTGTGTGTGTGTGTGTGTGTGTGTGTGTGTGTGTGTGTGTGTGTGTGTGTGTGTGTAAGTATGTGTGCAAGTGTGTGAGTGCGTGAGAGTGTACAAGTGTGTGAGTGTGTGAGTGTGCAAGTGTGAGTGTGTGAGTGTGTGAGTGTGTGAGTGTGTGTGAGTGTGCAAGTGTGTGTGTGTGTGTGTGTGTGTGTGTGAGTGAGTGTGTGTGTGTGCGCGTGCGTGCATGTAATCGTCACCTGGTGGTGGATGGCTCGATGATGTCGTCGACAAAGCCGCGGCGGGCAGCGGGGAACGGGTTGGAGAACTCGTTCACGTACTCCTCCTCGCGCTGCGTCAGCTCCTGCACACGACACAAAGGCCGCGAGATGTACAGGGACGATGGATGGTGAGAAGTAGGAAGTGGAGCACAGCAAAAATCAACCAAATTATCACACCTCCGCAAACACCTTCAACAGGACACACACCACGAAACAACGCCACAGACCAACAGCTGCTGACCACAGGCACTATTCACAACCATTGATCACATGCACCAAACATCAGCATCTTCCCGAGCGTCACCACCATCACCAAAGGCCGCACCTCTGGGGAAGCGCGACGGTAAAGGATGGAGGCAGCGCCCTTTGCACCCATGACAGCAATCTCAGCAGTGGGCCAGGCATAGTTGATGTCGCCACGAAGATGCTTCGACGCCATCACATCATACGCACCACCGTACGCCTTGCGAGTGATGATGGTGATCTGTGAAACAGCACACGCACACACACACACACACACACACACACACACACACACAAGCGAAAAAAAAAACACAACGAGGTGATGGTGCGGTGAGGTGAGGATGTTGAATGGATGGGATGGGTGGACGTGCAATAACTAGCACGTCATCAACACACAAGTGGAATCTGGTCAAGCAAAAACAACACTCGTGTCACTGAGGTTTGACGGCTTGCATTGGTGTTGGATCATGCATGAGCGAACGAACCTTTGGCACGGTTGCCTCGGCGTATGCGTAGAGCAGCTTGGCGCCATGGCGGATGATGCCACCATACTCCTGCAGTCCAGACCGGAGAGGGAGCGGACGTTAGCACACACACACACACACACTCACACACACACACACTCACGAAGAGAGCCGGGGTTTGGGAGGGGGTTGGCTATGGAATACACAGAGGGGAATACACCGGACGCTGACACACACACACGTATCTTAATCCCCTTGCAGTGACTTGCTTGGCAAACCAAGAAGGCGCGTACCTGAACGGTGCCGGGGAGGAAGCCAGGAACATCGACAAAGGTGACAATGGGGATGTTGAAGCTGTCGCAGAAGCGAACGAAGCGCGCGCCCTTGACGCTGGCAGCAATGTCGAGCGTGCCAGAGGCAGACTGGGGCTGGTTGCCGACAATGCCCACGGGCTGGCCGTTCATGCGGGCAAACCCAACAATGATGTTCTTGGCGTAGGCGGGCTGGATCTCAAAGAACTCGCCAAAGTCGACAATCTTCTGCACCAGGTGCTTCATGTCGTATGCCTTGAAAGGGTCCTTGGGCACCATGTAGTTGAGCGACTCCGCAGCGCCCTCCACCTCGGGCTTGGCAAGCTGCGGCGGGCCCTCCCGGTTGCTGCCGGGCAAGAAAACGCGCGTGCGTTGTGGGTGAGTGTGAGAGAGAGAGTGTGTGTGTGTGAAAGAAAGAAAGAAAGAGAGAGAGAGAGAGAGATAGAGAGATAGAGAGAGAGAGAGAGAGACAGACAGAGAGAGACAGAGAGAGAGAGACAGAGAGTGTGTGTGTGAGTGAGCGAGTGTGTGTGTGTGTGTGTGAATGTGTGTATGTGTAAAGAGTGCTGGAAATGCGACTGCAAAGCGTGTGGTGGTGTCTCACAGCAGGGATCACCGCCACCAACAGCGACATACAAATAGCCACAGTATGCAACTGCAACCGACCTGGAGGGAAGGAAGCCCATGAGGTCGCGAACGCCTTGAAGCGCATCAAGATCGTTCTCAAACGCGCGATGGGCAACACCTGGCACAACATAGTACCCGAGACGCAAATACAAGCCAGCGGATGAGTTGTGGCGCAACCACAATCGTTGTCCGTGTCAGCGGTTGTTTGGGGGGGGGGAGGCACATCGAGCAAGCTACACGTACCGGACTTGGCCGTGTGGATCGTGGCGCCACCAAGCTCATCGTGCGTCACGATTTCGTTGGTCACACTCTGTGAACGCAAACACAGGTCAAAGGCAACGAGAGGCCACGCGTCAGCACTTCAGGCACGGGATGCACGCACGCAAAACATCAACTTGCACACGCGCGCTCGCGTGTGTGTGTGTGTGAACGAAAAATACCTTGACGACGTCGGGGCCAGTCACGTACAGGTAGGAGGTACCCTGTACGCATTTGACCAGATGAAATATGCACAAAGGAAGAGGAGGCATGGAATTAGCTGAGGCGTGTCCCAAGAAGTCTCTCCCACACGCGCACAAGACAGTTCAAACACAAGTGCAAGTACAAGTACAAGCTCAACGCAAGTATGAGTATAAGTAAAAGTACAAGTAAAAGTACAAGTACAAGTACAACGCAAATACAAGAGCCCCTGTTTCCCCTGCACACACGAGCGCTGTGGTTCTGACCTCGACCATGAAGGTAAAGTCCGTGAGGGCCGGAGAGTAGACGGCACCACCGGCGCAGGGCCCCATGATGACGGAGATCTGCGGGATGACACCAGAGGACATGACGTTGCGCTGGAAGATGTCGGCGTACCCGGCGAGCGAGTCAATGCCCTCCTGTTGAGTGCCACATGGGAGGCACACCATCGCAGACGTGAAAGACAGTGAGTGGATGCACATGTGTGTGTTGCATGAACTGGGGTTGTGTGCAGGCAGTGCGCTAGCAGCGGGCAGGTTTTGTTGTCAAACGAGCAGGAGTGTGCTCTCACTGACCTGGATACGGGCGCCACCAGAGTCGTTGAGGCCGATGACAGGAGCGCCGACATCCATCGCACGGTCCATCACCTGGCGCGGGCAGGAACGCAATGATAAGAAGGAGGGTGCAAAAGGGTTAGCAGAGAGTACCTTGGCGCAAATTCGCGAGAGAAGCTGCGCTGCGAAAGCGGTGGCAGAGGTGCAAACGCCACGACGGCACGACGGCACAACGGTACAAAGGCGCGAGTACTTGTGCGGAATTCCGACACAAGAGCACCGACCGACAATTCACAGCGCACCAACCTTGCAAATCTTCTTGGCATGCATCTCGCCAAGGCTGCCACCAAGAACGGTAAAATCTTGGGAGAAGACAAAGACAAGCCGGCGGTTGATGCGGCCGCAGCCCGTCACAACACCATCGCCAGGCGCCTAGCAGTGTCAATGGAAGGAAGAGACAAGTGTTAACGAATCAGACAGGCGGAAGAAGCACACCAACATCACAACAAACATTAGGAAGAATTTACAAGCGCACCTACCACAACCCTGTCACAGACACACAGACACCAGACACAGACACCAGACACACACACACACACGCACACACGCACACACATACACACACACGCACACACACACACACACGCACCGATGTTGCGTTCATGCCAAAGTAGTTGCAGCGGTGCTCCGTGAACATGTCAAACTCCTGGAACGTGCCTGGGTCAAGCAGCAGCTCGATGCGCTCGCGAGCAGTCAGGCGACCCTGTGCACACGTGCAATGCAAACGCAACCGAAATAAACCACCGAGGCAGAGAGAGAGAGAGAGAGAGAGAGAGAGAGAGAGAGAGAGAGAGCAAAGGGAATGGAATGGTGAGGGCCTTACAACTCAGTTTGAGCCGAGTCCTTTGTGTGGGCCAGTGGACTGATGGCGTGGGTCTTTACGTGCATGCAACACCAGCCGGTAGCAGCGTTGTCCACGCACCTTGGAGTGCTGAATGTCGATACGGCGCTGTCCACCGCCCATGAGGGACTGCTCCCGCATGTCTTCCAGGCGCTCCTTGACGTTCTCATGGCGTCGAATGTGCTATCGAGGCAAGCAAAGCAAGCGAGGCAAGCAAAGCAAGTGAGGCAAGCGAGGCGCCACAGACAACGCGCATATGTGAGCTTTCACATATTGGGTGGCTGTGTTGTTTTGTTGCTACCCATCCCCTTGTCACCTTCACAACCACCTGGACCTTAACCTTCACAACCACGGCTGGTGCACCCGCTCGCAAAAAAGAGAAATTTGTGTTGTCACATCATCAAGCACTGAACGCGGTTCACATCACATGGAGGCTCTTTCTCCTCCCTTCGCCAGCCAAAAACATCATGCGTACCTCGGAGAGGGTGCTGGAGGCCCTGTTCACAACAGGGAGCACGCTAACACGGTTTGCTCCGCGCATCACGGCGCGGGCGGCAACAGCCACTGCCACAACCATCTTGTTGCTTGCTTGCTTGCTTCGCTCTGGCTTTGTTGCTGCCTGCTTTGCAGTGCGTGAACGGAGTGCAAGAAAAGTGCAGCTCACGAGATCGACAAGTCGCAACATCTTCCAAAACAATTCTACAACCACACCAATACGCACAACCGACAACAGGAACGAAGACAACAACCAGCAACAAGCAAAAGACAACCATAGCAAAGACCACAGTAACGGGCCCCAACCGGATCGCACAACCAAGTCAAGCAAGCAACCAAGTCAAGCAAGACAAAGCGAGTGCTGACTTGAATCAACGGACTGCCAGGGATGCCTGCGCCGTGGAGAAGAGAACGTGGGGGCCGTGGTGGAAGAGGAGGAGGAGGAGGAGGCGGCAGAGGGGGACATCGAGGGCGCGGGCGTGGGAGCAGGGGCGGCGGAGGCAACCAACGAGCACCCAAGCACGTGGCGCCACAGCCTGAGCCTGAACTACAGCAGGCAGGTGACCCAACGCGCGCGGGGCTGGAAGGGAGAGAACACAGCATCGCGTTTGAGGATGTCGTTCAGGACAGCGCCAGTGTCCGCTTTGCACCTGAACAGGCACTGTCCAGCCAGGCAGATGACGAGGCCGGGTTCAAGCAGCTGTTGGATCACCCGCTCTTGCGCGTGGAGCCTGCAGACTTTTCCAACATTTCAACAGTGGGGTTTGAGGACATTGCGCGAATCGACACCGAATTCTTGGATCCACAACTCCTCAAATCACTCCACGCAAGTGCCACAGGTGGCAAGAAACAGCAACCAGCCACAATCAACACACGTGCAGACCCTGCACACACCACGGCGTCGGCGCCACCTTCTGTTTCAGCAAAACAACAACAACAACAACAACAACAACAACAACAACAACAACAACAACAACAACAACAACAACAACAACCAGAGGCTGCAGTGGCTGCAGATGAAGGCGAGGAAGACGAAGAAGACTTGGAAGAGTGGCTTGATTCCGTATTGTGAGCGCTGCGATCTTGCTTGCTGATCGGTGGTACAACTTGGCAGGCCTTCCTCCCCTTGCTGTAAGTGTACAGCCACAGCTGCGAATTAAGCAACGTGCGCGTGCACACTGCGCCTTGGTGTCTCCTCACGCTGTTGTGATGTGCCTCGCCGAATCGCTGTGCACAGGCATCTGGGCGTGTGATTTAGAGCAATGTATGTTATATGTGTAACTCAGGCCAGTAACCATCAACCAATAGAACCTATGGGAACATACATGAAAACAGTGCATGCCATGTGCAGCTGACAAAGCAAAGAACCAGAGAGAACCAACACGGTCGGCCAACGCACGTCGCACATGCAAGCGGGATAGTAAGAGCGCACATTCATCATAAGAGCTACCACTTACACACACACACACACACACACACACACACACACACACACACACACACACACACACACACACACACACACAAACACACACACACACACACACACACAGACAAACAGATCAGAGGATCAAGAGCAGAGGCCGTCCTCTTCTTCGGAGCTGGAGTCCGCGTCCATGTATGCGCTGCTCTGCTCAACATGGAGCATGTGTTGCACTGCTGGTCTGCGAGGTGCAAGCCCGTCTTCCTCCTCCTCATCTTCTTCTTCGTCGTCGTAGCTATCATAGGACACATCTTCACCTTCACCACCCCAAGGCCCTGCTGGGCGCGAACCTTGCGGATGCATCACATCTTCATCGTGTGCCACATCCTCTTCGTAAGTGTCCAGCACCAGCACATCCACTTCACCATCATGTCGCTGATGTGTGGGCGACAACACTTCTCCCGCTTCTCCTGCGTGTCCTGCGTGTCCTTCGTCTCCTGCTGCTTCTTCATGCCCATCGCGGTCTTCACTCTCCACTTCGCTGTCATCGCTCAGGGCTTGCGCTCGCTGCAACTTGGCTCGTTTGTTCACCGGATCCCCACGAGCCCGCGCTGGAGCGACCGTGTCTCTGGTTTTCGGCGTATCCTCCACCACGCCCACGTCATCATCATCATCATCATCATCATCATCATCATCATCATCATCATCATCATCATCATCATCATCATCATCATCATCATCATCATCATCATCATCATCATCATGTGCGTCGCTCTCATCCTCGGAAGATGAACTCAGCACACGCGGCGCCCGTTGCGCTCGCTTCACCACAACCACGTCCTCCTCCTCCTCCTCTTCTACGTCGTCGTCTCCGCGTTTTTCGCCGTTTCCATCACCGTCGACACCGACATCCTCTTCGTCGCTGCTCTCTACCATTCGCGCATTTCTTGTGTGCAAACCACGGCTGCGCTCAGTACCGTCGTCACCATCCGCATCGTACAACGCGTCACGCTGCTGATGTGGCGATTGCTGCTTCTTGTCTCTGCTCCCATCCAAATTGTCTCCAGTGTCCACCGTCTCCTCTTCCACCTTCTTCTTTCTCCTTGCTCTACTTCTCTCTGTCTGTTTCTGCTCGTGTTGCCTCTCCGCCACTGGTAGTAGTGTCGGTGGTGGTACTGGTGCGGGTGGCGATGGAGGTGATGGTGATGGAGGTGATGGAGATGGAGGTGACGACGGCCAGTGCTGCACGCTCTTTCCGACATCAAGCAACACCACGGCCTCTTCATACTCGCCGAGTGACGACGACGACGATGACGATGATGATGACGACCGTAATTGCTCCTGCTGTTGGTTGCTGTGCCCGTTCTCGGGAGTTGACAGCAGCAGCAGATCCGCTGGGAGGGTGAACAAGCTCACGAGCCCGTCTCCACCGACGACACACACACAGCACTCCTTCACGCCCGTTGTGAACAGCTGCACCAGTGAAGCAGCGTTGATGTCGGCAATTGCGTGTGAGTCAATCTCACAAAGCTTCTGCTTGCATGCACACACACACACATACACAGACAAAATAGACACGCACACGCCTACGCACACGCCCACGCCCACGCACAGACACACGCACAGACACACACAGACACACACAGACACACACACACACACACGCCCACGCACACACACACAGACACACACACACAGACACACACACACACAGACACACACACACACACACACACACACACACACACACACACACACACACACACACACACACACACACACACACACACCCGCACGTGCGCAATTATGCAAAGGTCCCCACGGTCACGCCTGCCACATCGCACCTTTGGGACGGTGGGGAGGGTGTGCTGCTGTCTGGTGTCGGCTGATTCTGAAGCTTCATCAGCGAAGGAGAGTTGGAGGTGACCGGAGCCCGCCGGACTCTCACGCACGTTACACACATGCACAGGTGCAGCCTGCATTGCAACCATCCAACAACAAAGAGAAGAAGTGGCCGTCGTCATGAGTTGATGGATATGCCGAGCTTCTTTTCACATCGAAGGAAGGGGCGCATGCACATTTGGCATGCGTACACACTCACGCATGGGCAGAAATGAATGAGCAAGAGCAAAAGCACCAATGCAATACACATTGGCAGCACACCACGCGATACCTGTTTCGTGTCCGTGGATGCGAGGGACAGGAGAAACATGCCGCCCGAATCAAGAAGTGCGAGCACGTGTGTGTCGTCATGCACCGCCACCACCGCCAGCACAGCCACATCAAACTGGAACAGCAGCGTCTCGTGGCCAGGGCGTTCCGTCACGTCAACAAGCCACAGACTGCCGTCCACGCACCCAACAACAAAGCCAGGCGTTGTGCGCGGCCAGCAGATGCAGGCGTGGCTGAGGAGAGGGGAGCAGCTTGGTCGGCACACACCGCTGACAACAGACCCGTCCGCAGCGACAGACACCAACTGAAACAGTCGCGGCGCCAGCATGTACATGCGCGAGTGAGTGAGTGAGTGAGTGAGTGAGTGAGTGAGTGAGTGAGTGAGTGAGTGAGTGAGTGAGTGAGTGAGTGAGTGAGTGAGTGAGTGAGTGAGTGAGTGAGTGAGTGAGTGAGTGCGTACGTGAGCGAGTGTGTGTAAGTATGTGTATGTGTGTGTGAACGTGTGTGTGAATGTGTGTGTGTGTGTGTGTGTGTGAGTGAGTGAGTGGGCGTTCTAATTTGTTTTGCGTATGTGCAATCAACACAGGTGTGCGCATTTGTGGGGATGCAACGGCAGGGTACACGGTGTCATGTGCACAGCCCACCTCACAGGCGCCGGCGCTGGCCCATGCCGCAAAGCACAGGGAGGTGGAGTACGGGCAGAGCACAACACCGCAGGACGACGACCACGACGACGACGATAAAGGCGACGATGACAAAGGAAACACATCCATGCACGCAGCGGGCTCAACGCACAGCGGCTTAGACAATCTGCGCAGAGAAGAGAAGCAGCACTGCGTGACTTTGAAAGCTTGATATCAACTCACGAGCTGTAGACCCCCCGATTGAGACGCAACACACACACACACGTACACACGCACACACACGTACACACACGCACACACACACACACGCACACGTACACACGCACACACGCACACACGTACACACGCACACACGCACACACACACACAAGCAACATCGAAAATGCACCTGCTGCCGGCTGCTTGTTGCCATAGCGACTCAGCTGGGAATTTCCAGCGCAAGACAGCACCATCAACACACGTGGCAACAACATGAACCGAAGCGTCACTGGTCATGTATTTCCTGATGTTCACACAGGCCGAGGAGCAGTGCTGGTGGTGAATGGACAAGGAAATTACACACGCACGCACGCGCGCACGCACGCACACACACACACACACAACACGCACACACACACGTTAAGCCAGCACAGGCACACTGGGGTGTGTGGGTGCTCACATTGCTGTGTCGGTGACAGGTGCTTCAACGCCACACAGCGTTCCCAGCAGACGCGGTGCCTGTGGTGGTGACGACTGAAGTGAAGAAAGGTCATCATCGCTGGGGCCAGCACTGCAATCTTTATCCTTCTGCAGTTGGTCTTGGGCGCTGAGCTGTGCATACGCGAACAGGAAAATGGTTCCTTCCTTGGAGGACACGGCAATGACGACAGCAGGTGGGGTGGATGACGGGTCCTGTGACGGGGTCGTCGCTTTGACAGCCATCTGGTCAGCGCATGTATTCGCCACTCTTGTGAGCTCTTGCCAGTATAGCAGCAAAAATCATAGGGTCCATGACACGCTCCGAGCAGCAAACACGCATCAGAACAAACACGCACACACACAACATCCACACACAGTATGCCAGACACATGTATCGCACCCACCCACACCCACACCAACACACATGCACACACACACACACACACACACACACAATACAAGACACCGTACCAGC